TCCATTGAAACTTACAAGGTCCCTCAGGCACCACCCCTTCCCTACTCTAATGACGACCATACACTACCATCATCTTCCTATGACAGTGCCTCTGATTCTGCTCCCCCTCAGAAGACCCCACAGTTCTCTCCGTTGTTATCCAGATAGTTGCGCATCCTGTGGTCTTGAAAGCCAATCTTTTCTCACAGCCTAAGGACTCCGAACTTCCAGCCAGCTCGCCCACACTCCCATTGATCCTGTGTCCACAGAGTTTCCCAATCACAACCTGAAGGATAGGTAGGCATTACCTAGGAGAAGCCTGGGGACACACTGTCTGGGCAGAGGTCTTTCTGAACTACTTTTCTAGAACAGCACTGTCCTGTAGAAACATAGTGTGGTCCACAAAGGTATGCCTGCCCTCAGTAATAAAAGAGAACTCTATAAGGGTGTGAACCAGAAGGGAAGGGTGATGGGGACCTCCTTAAAGTCTGTCCACCACATCAAATAACTGCAATTGTGTTAGGCTGGGGGCACTACATGTGACTGGTCTAAATACTTATGGTAAAGTTTCTATGCCTTTTATAATTTAACACTAGAGGCCTGATACATGAAATTTATGCAAGAGTAGGCCTTCCTTCCCCTGGCTGCTGGCACCAGCTTTTCTCTGGCACCTGGGACCCGGGCTTCCCTCACAGTCCCAGCTTCGTCTGGAAGGTCATCTGGAAGGACATCCAGTCTAATTAGCATATTACATTTTTATTATTACAGATACTTTAATTTTCAAGTGCCAGAGTTAGCCATCTACTCACTAATCTATCTGTTATTAAATATACATTTTTATCAAGAATGAGAGAATTCTTTTCACAACAACCATTTACTCTTGAATTTTATCAGTTTTTAAATTATGTCTCTTAGATACTATAGCAATAGTTCTCTTTTCTGCTTCTTTCATTAAAAAAGCACATTCCTTCAGTTATAATTCATTATTAGCAGTTTCTGAGCCAGCCTTGGAAAAGGACCACTATTTATTTATTTTATTTATTTTTTGTTCTTTTCTTTTTCATTTTTTAAAGGACCACTATTTATAATTTTTTATCTAAGGTTGTTGATTCTCTGACCATCACTGACAACCTATTGCATGCCTGGTACTTAAACACACATAGAGACAAGGATTGTCGAGGCAATAGTGTCACCTGGGCAGGCTTTCCCCAGGTGAGAAGCAGGGGAGCCCTGTACCAGGAAGCTGTGCACCAAGACAGAGCTGTGTACCAGAAGCAGAGGGATCTGTGTACCAAGAAGTAGGTGTGATGAGAGAGTGGAAAGTCACACAACCCTTCACCTTTCCTCCTTGACAAAGACCTCGCAAGTGACTGTGAGGTGAGCCTACCTAAATCATGATTATTGAATTACACTTGGTAGACATTGAGGGTGTGGTAATTGTTGTCATTCTTATAATATTGTAATATTAATCTTATGGAATATTGAATCTCCAAATAGCCCGTGACATAAAGAGACCTTTATGGCTCCAAAGGAGCTATTATATTTCATTATCTCTCGAATCTTCAGATTTAAAGAGTCCTCAATGAGACCTTGACATAATTAAGTCTAATGAGTCCGAAGGAGTTGCAGTGGTCTATTGTGCCAATAATTTAGACATGGCGGGTCTTCATTATAAGGAGACCATGGCGTGCCAGTGTAGCCTGTGGGTGGTGTAGGCAAGACTGACAGCTGAGTTAGTGAACTGAAGCTGTTCAAAAGCACTTTATACCTCAAACATGTAGTTTAAAAGTTTCAAATAAAGATTTTACTACCTTGAATCTAAACTTTAATGCTTCCTGGAGCATCAGTTCATTCATTCATTTGTGCACAACACTTGTGCCTGCCTACTCATTCATGTACCATGATAGGTATAGGGATGCAGAGGTCAAATAAGACAGAGACCTGCTCTCAAGGAGATCTGTACCTAAATGTTTTAAGAAGTGCACAGTAGAACAGTGGTGAGAAAACCATGGCCCACAGGGCAGTGACCTGTTTTTATAAATAAAGTTTTATTGAAACACAGCCATACTCTTTCACTTATGTTTTGTCTATGGCTGCTCTTTGCACCACAGTGGCAGAGTTGAGTAGCTGTGACAGAGACCATATAGACCACAAAGCTGAAATAGTCACTGTCTGGCCCTTAAAGACTAAATTTGCCAACCCCTGTTCTAGAATTTAAAAGGTCTGGAGCTACTTCAGTAAACCCCTAATCGGCATGAATTGGCATTTTTAGTTCACATAGCTCTGGTGTAATTCAGAGAGGAGGTCATATTTTCTCCTCATTGTATATTTACTCTACTTTACCATCAATGGAATGTGGTAGCTAATTCTTTCAACCTTTACTTGGTGCTACCTCCACACCAGGTCCTCTGATAATCTCTTCACATAATTCCTAGAGTATAGAAGATGCTTAATTAACCTGTATGAAAATGAATCCAGCTTATCTGCCACATGAAGAACAGTATAGTAGCTTTGAAGATATGGCCTCCAAACACTTTGATACTTCCTCCCTAAAGAGTTGAATATTTCCCCTCTCCTTGAATGTGGGTTAGACCAGAGGATGGTGGGGAGTGTTAAAGGGTAAAAAGTGCTTGTCACAATGCCTGGCCAATAGGAAGAACACAGTAGACACTACCTCTTCTCATGACCATCACTGGCATCATCGTGGTCATCTAGTCCCTGGGAGATGGGGTAGCATTCCCCCATTTCCTGTGGCTGGCTATGCCAGTGGCCGGAGCTGTCCAGTTCTTTGCTCTTCCCTTGCTCCTTACTGAATCTTCTCTGACATCCTGAATATATCCTGCGAGAAACTCAGAACTGAGCTGATTGAATTTTTTTTTCTTCTCCTTCTTAAAGGGGCATCCAAACACCATTTTCCTTCTATCAATACATTGCTGTTTGGACAACCTCCGCCCCAGGCCGGTTCGGTTTCTGCGCTGAACATAACTTTATTTTGCCCCATTGAAAGATGCAGCAAAACCCCTCTTTGTGCAGGAGCTATTAAGAGCATCCATTCTTAAATTAGCTTAGCAAGAAAGAGTGCGTTTTCTAGTCAAGCCAGCAGTAATTGGACACTGTGACTATGAGTGGCCCTTGCGGTGCTTGGATGCGGGCCAAATGTACCTTCTGTCTGTCTCTGCCACAGGCAGACAATAGCGGTATTATTTACTGCACTGGCTCTGAGCAGCTCCAAAGGCCAGCTGCGAGAACAAAAGAATCCTTAGCGCAGTGCCCAGCCTTGGACCCAACTGGAGGCTCTATGTATGTTTCATAAATAATTCACCCCTCACCCCAATGGTGGGCCATCTATTCTTCGCTTCTTTCCCTTTGCACTGACCGTGGCTGTGAGGAAAATGCACATCACTCCTCCAACTCCTTGGAGAGAGGGATGGCCAACAACTATTCTTTGTTTCGATAGCGGGGGGTGGATGGGGGGCAGGGAGATGTAGAGTCACAATTTCCGACAAGCAGCAAGGATGGCAGCAGAGCCCCGTGCCTGGGAAAATGTTGGCAGGGTTATTCCCCTCTGGAAAGTCACACTTCCAAGGAATGTCATTTGGAGCTTTGTCTGTGGAGTTTCATGAAGGAGCTTGATGTTTTCTTAGGCAACACTCACAGGTTGCTATACCTCGCGGTACAGGCCATCTGGGCTCTAGGTGGGCCGAGCCCAGGGTATCCCAGTTGACTTGCTTCCATTTCTCACCCAGAATCTGGGAATATGGAGTTGTCCAACTGCAATCTCTATGAACAGGGCATACATCAAAACATAGCCTCCTTAGTCATTGAACAGGCAGCTCCTGACCCAGATCTGAGCTATGAAGTTCAATGTGACCCAGTGACTCTAACCTGCAAGCCACGTGGCCTTTCATTTTCTAAGTGCATCCACAATAATTGTGGGTCCTTATCGCTGCCTCCCACCTTGAGCCGTGTTTTCCGACCTGTTTCCGTGATCTTCAGCTCCTGGCAGTGTGCCCAGACATTGGAGCCAGGCCTTCCCACAGGCCTGGGCATTTGCCGGCCACCATGGCTCTCCCAGATGGTGGGGGTGCCTCGTGCAGGATGTTTTCCTGTGTGGCTTCTGTCCCCAGCTGCTTGCCAACATCTGGCCTGATGCAGTGCAGTCCCAGGGTGCAGTCTGGACATAGTGAAGCAGACGCCCGGGGTCCTGCAGGTGCAGCAAATCCCACCAAGAATAGCCCAGGTAAGTCGCCATCACAGACTTAATAGTCACACAAGGGGTCCATCGTGGCTCATAAACTAGTGGTTATAAGTTGTTGCCTCGCCTTTTTATTTTTATTTTTGTTTTTCTTTTTCATTTGCTTCTCACACTCTATGAGACAGGTTAGGAAGGCAGGGTCATTCAATGTTAGAGGTTAGCTTAAGTGAGCTTCAAAGATATTCAGTTGAAAAGGGGGTGAAACCAAGTGTAAGGTTTCAACTCCCCCAGTCCATGGAGGTTTAATACACCACGGTCTGAGGGAGGGCGTGAGGAGGGAGCGGATTAGAATCACGGTCAAACATGATGCTTAAGGGGCTCACTCTATCCTCAGCCAACGTCACGCTGAGCTCTTGAATCTCCCTTTTGGAGACAATGCTCTCTGAAGAGGATACTCTGCCCCATCGCAGTGCCTTCTATGGTGGCAGGGCTGTGCGTAGTCTCACTCACCATTGCGTTTCCTGGCCTAGAACAGATTTCCATGTAGACCGAGTGTTGAGTGAATGAATGAATGAATGAATGAGTGAATGAACGAATGGGCAGGTGAATGAGAGAAGGAAGGAAGGAATGTGCTGCTTGTGCTGGAGGCTGTGTGATCACTCTTGGATTGTTCTTGACCCCCAGAATCCTACCTGTCCCTTTCTGGGTGTCTGTCCTCTTAGTGTGTCTGAGGTGCCCCACAGGTTCCCCAGACACCCCTGGCCTCGGCCCTGGGAGAACTCCCTCCCATTCCCCTTGCAGAGGGTGCTCTGTTCCTGGGCCTCACCTGCAGCTTTGATCTGAGAGTCGAAGCGCGGGGTCCCCTGGTGCATCCTGCAGGACAGCGCTGTGCCTTCTCCTTCTGGGGCTCCCCCGAGGTGAGTGCACGTGGGTGGGCTGGGGTGGGATCAGGAGGCTCTCCTCCCTTCACCCCCCTGGCTTCACCCCCATCTTCCAGTTGCATTCATGCTGTGACGTGAATCCACTGCTGGACTATTAGAGGGTTTTTCTTACCGAGACAACAGAACTCAGAGAAATCACGGGTCCCGCCAGGACCGCATGGGCCCTCAGTGACAGACAGGGACTGGGCACCATGGTGCCCACCTGTGTTTTCTGAGCGCTGCTGGCCACTCTCTTTGCCCGCCATTCCATGTGCCATCTATTCTCCGAGCTTCTGCCTAGGAGAATTTTGACATTTCGAGGGTGGGGCTGAGGGCTGTTGGATGTCACTGCACCTATTCAGAGAGAACACCAATATTCCGTTAGTTCAGTACTTGCAAAGAGCAGAGTGAATTAATCCCATGTACATAAACATTTGCAAACTGCAGCTCAATATAGTGCTGACCCCTGAGATCAGCCGATAAAGGACTGTGAGTCTCCAGGTTTGTCTCGGTAACTGATCCCTGTGACGGAGAAAGCTTTGGAGTTTGGGTTCATAGAGACACAGCACCGCCACTGACTCATGAGCCCATGAGGAAGTCGTACGTGCTCAGCCTGTATCCCTGTGGGTAAAAGCTCTGAGGTCACCGTGTGGACACCAGATCCTGAAAGTAGAAACACCCAGTATGCGGTCTGCTCCCTGGGAAGCACTCCGTCAATGGTAGATCCTTCTGTCCTCCCTCTTCCCACCCAGGTCCCTGCTATCCTGGGGGTCTGGTGCCTTTAAATGTTGGGCTTCTAGAAGCCTCTTCAGTTAATGAAGGTGTTGGGCAGCAGGTGGGAGCCGGATCATTTCCAGCTCTTCCTAATTTTTGATGGACTTACACAGGCCACTGATTTGCAGCATCCACCGCCCCCTTTAATGAGCTGTGTGCTCACAGTTAATTAACTAATTACTTCTGGGCAAAAGCAGCATTAAGTTGCAAACCTGGTTTCCGCAGCCTCCACCAGACCAATGCTCTTTTGTCAAAGCCAAGAAAGCGTGGCCATGAGGAGATGCCGCCACATCCCGGCAGGTCTTCAGGTCTGCCGGCGCAGTTTAGATGAAAACATCTCAGCGAATGAGGGACATCGGACATGACAGGTACTTTCTGGAGATCCAGGGCGAGGCTGACGTGCAGAATGTGACCTGCAGGCCTCATCGCTTTCCTGGTCGGAAGTACAGCTCTTCTCCAAGGCTATCTCCCCCTTGCCCCATAGTGACTCCATTCGTGGTGATGCCATGGAGCTGTGCCAAATGGCCTGCTTGTAGTTCAGAAGATGGGGAACAGACCATGTCTGAGCATACAGAAGGGAGCCTTACACACAAGGCACATCGTAATTGGAAGGGGGGCATTTGGCACTCTGAAACAGGAAGCCATTGCCTGGGGAACACTGTTAAGTGATGTGAAACCAGGTTACAGGCGGTATAGGACTCCGTTTTCACTCCTTCAGGGCTCGTTTCCTGGGAGGCCGGAGCAGACTTCAGAGTCAGTTGCTCTGGATTTGAATCCTGGCCTTGCCCCCATTAGGCAGATGCATGCTGTGTGACTGTGGAGAAGTCACTTAATGTCTCTGTGCCCTAGTTTCCTCACTGAGGACATGTGGAAGTTGAGGAAGCCCCAGCACATTGGGTTCATTGTGAGGTCTCACTGGAAGAGGGAAATATTTAACGAGTGAGCAGATGTTTACTTCACACTGCAGCAGAGGCCACTAATGCTCAGGGCTCCACGTGCCCCCTTGGATTCCCCAGCAGCCCTTGGGGATTAGCGAGGGACCTGGATTCTGGCAAAAGGGACTGTGAAAGAAAGAAACACCCCCCCTACTCTCTCTCTTTCTTAGTTCCTATCAACAACGTAGATGTCACCTCTTCCAGATGTTGTGTCTACATGGGGCAGTCTTCATCAACCTGGGTCCCAGAGTCACTGTGTGGAGCCAAGCTGTATTTGGTGGCTAGGGCTTCGTGACAGACAGAGTGGTGCAAAACAAGAGAGATTTCTTACAGTTCTGGAGGCTAGAAGTCTAAACTCAAGGTGTCCTCGGGGCCCTGACCCTCTCGGCTCTCGGATAACTGTCCTTGTCTTTTCCTAGCTCAAATCTGGTCATTACTTGGCTTATACCTGCATCACTCCAGTCTCTGTCCCTGTCATCATCTGCTCTTCTCATAAGGACACCAGGCATATTGGATCAGGGCCACCTTAATGACCTCATCTTAATCTGATTACATCTGCAAAGACCTTATTTCCAAGTAAAGTCACATCCACAGGTATCAGAGGTTAGGACTTCAATTCACTTTTTTGAGGGTCACAATTCAACTCATAAGACCTACCAATTTGTGTTGGATGGACACTGAGTGAGAGGAATCTTTGCCAGGTTCAGCCAATGAGATTTGCAGGCTTCCTTCCATACCAATTCCTGCATGAGATACCCTTTTCCATTTCTTTCCTTGGCCCACTCTTTCATGCCCTTCAGTTTCCTCATCACCTGCTTCAAGAAGCCCTCTTGACTACCCCAAGTATATGTCAGGATCTCGCCATGTATTTTCCCCATATTAGTTCCTTATTGCCGTTGTAGCAAATTACTACCAACTTGGTGGCTTAAAACTACACATATGCATTGTCCTCACAGTTCTGGAGGTTGGAAGTCCCGAACGGGTCTTATGGGGCTAAAATGAAGGCATTGGAGACGGAGGGTTGTATGTGTCCTGGAAGCTCTGGAGGCGAATCTGTTCTTCCCCTCTTCCAGCTTCTAGAGGCCGTCTGCACTCCTTGGCTTATGACGGCACCACTTCGACCTTTGCTTCGGTTGTCACATCGTCTCTGACGCCAACTCTCCAGTCTCCCCCTTTTATAATGATCTTTGAGACTGCATTGGCCCCACACAGATAATCCAAGATCATTTTCCCATATCAATCGCTTTCCCTTAATCATATCTGCAAAGTCCCTTTTGCCATGTAAGTGCCATATCCACAGGTCCCAGAGATGAGAATGTGGGCTTTGTTAATAGTTTATCATGTGTGTTGTAATTTTCTTGGGCTTTCTTCCTATGGACCCAGGAGATTCTAAAGGTAGAGGCAATGTGTGAGTTACCATCACATCCCCATAGCCTATCAGGGCTCTTGTCGTATAGGAGTTTCTGGTCAATGTTTGATGAATGAATACAGGGATGAAGTCTCAATTCCATGTTGGGTGGAGTGAGATGGCAGGGAGGCTGAGTTAGCAAAAGCAGGAGGTTCCTTCCAGGGTTGGGCCACCAGGGGATCAGAGGCAGGATGTCCTCAGAAATCCAGGACAAAAGGAGTCCGTTGGGACATCTCAAGGTGGACCGATGGTTCACACAGCCCTGGGTTGACCACACTGAATGTTCACCTTTTGTGCAGTCTTGGGTTTCCAACCAGGACCTCAAACATGGACAGGACACATTGAATAAATGAAAGAGATGCCAGAACCTTTTTTGTGCAACTTGTTTCAGTGATCGAGAGCATTAGAAATTGTCTTGTTTTCGGGAACTAGTGCATGTCAAGGTATAGTTGCCTGGTAGGAGGTTGGAAATTAATCTCCAAGTTTTATTGAAATGCACTAGTTGTTGTGATTGTTGTTTTAATTATCCTCCAAGTGAGTTGGGTGGGGGACAATCTTGTGATAATACTGGACCATACTTTCAGTCAGAAAGAAACCAGACACATTCATATTTGAAGTCGTCAAAAGAGGGAGGAGAAGGCATCTGGCATGTGCTGATCTGATAAGCGACTGGCTCTGTAGAGAGTTATTCCACTGTATCCGTTAGCCCTTGCCACAATAACACTGCGTAACAAGTCTCCTGCTCTCTAGGGGTGTAAAACAACAGTGATTCCCGTCGGTCTGCAGGTTAACTCAGCTCTTCAGGCTGCAGCTCTGTAGGCCTGGGACTGCTCCACGTGTTTTTCACCTGCAGGATAGTTGGGGCATGATCTCATCATGGTGATGGCTGAGTCACAGGCAGCCAGCAGAAATGACAAGGTGACATGCCTTGTGGTCTTGACTTGGCCGAGGCAGTCACA